TGTCACACCTTTATGCTATTGCTGTTTACATCATAGAAACTAGGGTACATTGTCGCCAAGAAAATGGTATCCAGCAAACCTATGAATGTGCGCTTAACCCTTTCGCACTTAGCAGGCTTGGCCAGCTGTGGCCCCCCATCCTTAAAGCAAAGAGCTGTTATTGAGTTCCTTACTGCAGAAGGAGCTGCACCCGTTGATATTCATAGGCGAATGAAGCTTGTCTATGGTGAAGCATGTGTAGATGTAAGTTCTGTTCGAAGATGAGCAAACGAGTTCGCTGAAACCAGTCCAGCAGAGACAGATTTGCAAGACCAAGCTCACTGTGGTCGTCCCAACTCTGCCAGTGATGTTGAATACCAGGAGAGAGTGGATGAGATCATCCAAGCAAACCGGTGGATCAAAGTAAGAAGAGATGTCAGTGAAATGCTAGGGATCTCTGTAGGGAGTGCTCAGTATATTATTAATGATGTGTTGGGTCACAGGAAAGTGTGTGCACGGTGGGTTCCCAACCTTGTCACCCGAGCGGAAATTGAATTGAAGTCAAGTTAATGACGAACTCCTGGCTCGTTGTACTGATGAAGGTGAAGCTTTCTTACGCCGAATAGTCACAGGAGACGAAACTTGGGCACACCATTAGGACCCAGAGAACAAAAGACAATCGAAAGAATACAGGCACACTGGCTCACCTAGCCCCAAGAAGTTCAAAGTTGTTTCATCTGCAAAGAAAGTGCTTATATGACAGTGTTTTGGGACTGTGATGGTCTGATTCATTTGGAATTTTTGAAACAAGGTTCCACTATCAACTCTGAACGATATACTGAGACCCTGAGAAAACTTAGAGCACAAGTACAGCCCGGAAAAAATGCAATTTTGCACCGTGACGACGCCTGTCCACACACGAGTCAACAAACTCAAGATGCCATGAAAAGTCTCAGATTTCAAGAGACCTTACCGCACCCATCACACAGTCCAGACCTTGACCCTTGACCCATCATACAGTCCAGACCTTGCTCCATCTGACTTTTATCTTTTTCCTAAGTTGAAGGAGTACCTCAAAGGAAAGCGTTTTGTAGATGACGATGAAGCTCAAGAAGATGTTCGTTGCTGGTTCAGAAGAAAACCACATGAATTTTTCACCAACGGCACGGGACAACTTATTGAACGTTGGCGGATCTGCATCGACAAAGAAGGCGACTATGTTGAAAAGTAAAGGTACTGTCATGTAGCAGACATCCTACGCTTTCATTTGGTGTATAACTTTTGTAAGTAACATCAGTAATAAAGAAATTATGAACTTGGGAGGCAAAACTTTTTGAACGACTCTCGTACTATTGTATTTTCACGTTGTTTATGACAGGTCGTATAATTAAAAACAAATAAATCGGCGTATTTTCACATCATTTTCGTTACGTTGTATACAACTGATAAGAAAAGGATTTCAAGAAAAAAGTACCATTTTATGCAAATCTGATCAAGGTTTTTCAATGAGTAAAAAGAACATCGGAGAGCTCTGATTTTATCTGAGTACTTAGCAGGTCTGGACACAGCATCTTAGCGGACACGAAGGGAAATAAATTAAATTGTAAGCCCTTGAAATAGCTTTACCCTGACGGTGTACAGTATCACCCACCAAAAAAAAAGCCTTGAAATCTGAGCCACACAGTTTTGGAACATTGATGGTCCATCGCCTAACAGAGTGCAGTTTTACAGCACTGCAACTAAACAGTCTAAATTGAGTGTGGGGAGTGGTGTTCCCAGCAGACAAGACAGGCAAACTCTATTTTAAAAATCCTCCTTACCGGGGAACTGAACTCTGCGCAAAACAGAAAGACCCCAGCTGCAAACACCAAAGTGGATGTAACAGAAGAGGCCGCAGTAAAAATCCAAACCATTCGTACTAGGAAAAACTTCACAGACCACTAAAACACTCGAAAACATCACAAGGCAACTCATTACATACACACACACACATTTCCTTTCTGATCATAAATAGTTTACAAGGAAAACGAAAATGTCACATCCATTTCCACAAAAGTGGAGGTACAACTGATTGCAATTGTTACTGCAGATGTTTTACACCCCAATCAAAACATCCTAGATCATCTACAAGGTGGGCTGCTTTAACTCTACCTGTGAGGGAGAACCCAGACTGAAAAGGGTACATCGTCCCACCAGAAAGATGCAGGAAATCAAACTCACATCCTTCTACAAGTGACAACAAAGCTCCTGACAGCTAAAACAAGACCTTCTTGGTGTTCAAAGAACCTAAAATATCTTTATTCATATTACCATTTCAAATTGTAAAATATCAGAGGGAAAGAAGAAGTGGACAGCCATGGCTTGGTCCAGTCCAGTGTTCTTAACCGACAGTGCATTTCTCTCAACCACCTCCAAGGTCTTCAAGAACCAAAAGACAAAAGTTGTACCTAACATTTAAGAAACAGAGCCCAGTGCCTATTGTGAATGACATCACTTACTACTGGATGTTTTGTTTGAGAAAAGAGCACACCCTCACAATAGTGATATTTAGTGCTGGGGAGAACAGTAAGAGAGACAAACAGAAACAGAAGAGAGAAAGAAGGGGAAAAGAAGTAAGACCTATCAGTGGCACCCTCCAACCAGCCACTTTTACTAGATACGGAGGGACTGAAGAACCTTTTCGTAAATGAAATAAAGAAAGCAACCCAGTTGAAGAGCATAGGGTTGGGGAGGGAGGGAGGAAAGCTGCAACAATGCTCAGTCCACTCATAAAGGACAGCAGTTTCATACCCATGAAGACCAGCCCCATTGGGCAATAGTAGAAAATAGACAGGAAACTCAAAACATAAACGACAATGCCCAGTCTATAGATTTTTTCCCGATGCTTTTCGGGTGTGGCAGCAAGTAAGTTTAGTGTGAACCAAACACTTTTTAAAAACCAAGCGCAGCCAGGCGCCACCAGTCCTCAGTAAAAGTTGAACACACTTTTTAAAAAACAACAAAAAAGCTATGTGCCTCCTTTTCATCCACAACAAAGTGACCACTAGCATTAAAAGGAACGTTAGATTATGGGACAGAGAGAAAAGCAGTATGAAACATGTTTGCCTCTACTCCTTTGTTGTCTCTGTTCTAAAAACACATTTGTTTTAAATTAAATAAAGAAAATCAATATAGAAAATGTCCCTAGTCCTGTTTCCCTCTTCCTTGTTAACTTTTAAAAGCAAATTAGCATCAATTATGCAGTCTTCAAAACAAAAAATGTAGTCCAATTCTCTTTCACTAAATGTTCCCCACCCCCAACACTAAAAAAAAAAAAGAAGAGAGATGTGTTAAAACCTACAATATTTATTACAATGTACCATGACCATCAATATGATCGACCACGTGTGGGCAAAAAATTCTCCCTAAATTTTTTCTGATTACAACAGTTGTCATAATTTGAACCATCATAAAACATCATGCCTTCGCAATATCACACAAGCCCCCCCCCCCCCCCCCCCCCAAACTGAAGGGATACCAACAACAGTCAGAACAGAACAATAGTTTGCAGAATGCCAAATGAGCACTTGTATATAAATTAACGTATACCCACTAGCAAAATACCAAATGAGCATTCGTATACAGTAGTCTCCGCCCAAGATCCCGGTGCTCTTAGACGAACCGGGATCTTAGCCGACGAACCCAGGGAAGAATCTATGGTGACCCATTTTAAGGCCCACAACCTGTAAAATGGTCTCCCTCCACTCAAAAATGAACTGACGTGACCCCTGGGTGGGTTTATGACATATGGCAAGCAAAGACTGGTTCACCTTGGTGACCTATCACAGTGCATAGTGGCATGAGGTGTGCTATTTTCACTTATTATCCTATTTTAAGTCTCAAGGTCTATGCTTATCCAGTTGCTCCTCCGCTTTACCTGTTGAAAATTTATAGCTTTCCATCTCTGACCAAGTTGCCCTGCCTTTGTGACACTTTGCTGTTACGCACCATTACGTTGTGACCATACCAGTCAAAATTCAGTCTGTTTTGCAAATTCGGGAATAGAGAAAACTGCTGCAATGGTAAGGGAACAGTTCACAGTTCAATGTGATCCTGCCTGGAGCGAGGTGATGTAAGTTTAGATGGAGACCTCAGATGCGAGTGCGATGTTTGGGGAAAACAAACGCGCCTGTCAGTTCACACATCGGTGTGATCCTGTCTGGGGCAAACATTGTACCGTTTTATCGAGTTTTACAACGCTTATGTGATCACATTCACGAGAGTGGCTGATCTCTGACATGACGGGCATTTTTATTGATCTCAACTTTTCCCTCTCGGTTGATTGGCAGTGCTCGCCTGGGTTTTTATTGCGTAAATTATGGTCAGAAATGTGGGATCTTAGCTGAATGTAGACATTCCGAGTGAATCAGAGCTGGATCTTAGGGGTGAATTTTGTTTAGTAAAAAATCTGTTTTCTTAAAACAGTGGGATATTAAGCGAACCGGGATGTTAAGCAGTGGGATCTTAGGAGGAGACTACTGTATAGTGTACCGTGTAACCACTGGCAGAATACCAGATGAGCACTCGTATATAATGAAACATATATACCCACCAGCATAATGCCAAATGGGCATTCGTATATAACACAAAGTATACCCACTAGCAAAAAGCCAAATGAGTACCCACTTTTCAATAACAAAAACAACGCACTGATGAATAGGCCTCTATAAAACCAATGGCATATGGCTCCCCAGCCCACAACCCCCCTTCCTAAAAAGGGAAGAAAAAAACAACAACTCAAAAACATCAGCCAAACCGTTTGTTATTCACACAGGTGGAAGAAGCAAGAACACCCTGAGGAGACCAAAAAAGGAAAAACAGGAGCTCAAACATTCAGCCAAACAGTGCAGCAGATACTTAACCCTACCCAGGAAAAAGTGAAAACAAAGCCCCAGAGAGTCAGAGCTTCACACTCCACTGTACCCTACCCAGGAAAAAGTGAAAACAAAGCCCCAGAGAGTCAGAGCTTCACACTTTCCCCCCCCCCCCAAGATCCTCACACTACACCCTGCAATTTATCTGCCCTGGCAACACAGCCTAGGTCTGTTATCCTTCTATCCACCCTCACGTTGAATCCAAGGTCAGACATCAGGAGTGACACAAAGACAGAGAGAGAGAGAGAGAGAGAGAGAGATAACCCAGAATCCTAAACAGCTGAATTTTTAATCCTTCTTCCAGTCAACTCCCCCACAAAACTGAGCTCAACAGCCGGGAGCGAGTCAGCGATCCCAATAAGCAGCAGGCCCCAGGCCCGACGCAGCCTGGCTTTATCATCCTCCTTTCCATCACAAACTCCACAGTAACGAACCTCATCAGACTCTGTTGTCTTCTTTTCCACCACAAACTCTGCAATAACGAACCCAAGGTCAGAGGTCAGGAGAGGGAAATGGCCTCGGAGCTCCGGCTTAACTGGCATGGGTGGGACGGGCTTCGGATGAGGCGTGTGCGTGGGATGCGGTCCAGAGCCTTGGCGATCTGGGCAAAGTCCGGCCGGTCGTTGGAGCGAAACGACCAGCATGACATAAGGATCTCCTGATGGAAGAAAATGTTTGTTCGTTTAGTTTGTTAAGTAAGAGTTTTACGGCTCTTGCAACATAAATAGGTGATATAACTGCAGATGATGAGAGGTGTTATTAGAATGCTCATCCAATTAAAAGCTGAATAAATTTTGGGTTCAAGAACTGTATGTTTATTTGAGCACACAGGCTTGATAGCAATGGATAAACACAGGTCTAGTCTTGTGGATGAACACGTGCTCTCTCAATACTTAAGCTCCAAAATGACTTTCAAAAGGCAGCAAACTTCACTTTTTGACTTACATTAGCAAGTTTTTGGAAACTCTGGGGGAGATAGGGAACATCTGTTTGTTTATTTGAGCAAAGGGAAGCATTCAATCAAAACAAGAATAAATGCTGATTCAAACAATGGCCCACACTGTAGCATAAAAAATTTAAGTAAGAGAGAAGGGCATTGAATAAATAAGTAATTTACAACAGGGAAAAAGCAAGACAGACAGACACACCAGAGGGGAAAGAAAAGGAAGTAGGACCTAACAGTGACACCTTACAATCATCAGCTCCCACAAATGAGCAAATTTACAATCCAATCACAAGAAGAACAGCAACAAGAACAAAGATTTTAAAAAACAAGAACAAGAAGGGGGCACAGCTCACCTTTACTTCTCGCGGAGCAGACACTGTACTCAGAGACTGTTTGATCCCTTTGCCCACCTGCCAGATGACCGTCTCACAGGGCTGGCTGCGGAATGGCCACTCGTTGCATAGCAGTTCATACCACACAGTCCTGGAGAAAAACGACAAACACATGTTGGAGTAGAGGGGGGGGGGGGGATTGTTTGTTTGAGTAAACAGAAGCACATCGACATGACAACGGTCATTCGGTGCTGAAAAAGGGTCAGACACGCAGACTAAAATGTCAGAATGAAAGAAGTATGGTTTACCAGTAGCACGCCCAAACCATCAGCATGTTGGAGGTAATTAGAAACACCCAAACTATTTTTTTAAATCATATAGCAATGGGGAAGAGAAAAAAAAAGACGCCTTGAGAGGTGAAAGAGAAGCACATCAAAAGAAAGAAAGTTTTCGTTTGAGTAACAAAACACACCATGACGCGATAATTGGCATTTGCGGGGGGGGGGGTGCAATTTAAAAATTAAAAAAATACAGACCAAGGCTGATAATATGAACATGATAATAAATACAATGAAGTCACAACTGGAAAACAAAAATATTTCACATTCTATACTTCAGAGACTAAACAAATACACATAGCGTGACGCACCCAAAAGCATAGAGGTCCGACATCTTGGTAAAAGGCAGGTCAGACTGTTGCATAGCTTGGAGCGAGCGGATGATCTCTGGTGCCAGATAACACAGCCAGCCCTTGGGCACACTCAGCCAGTTGTCTTTCTCGTTGGAAACGCACTGAGATCTGCCGGAGATTGACAAACAATGAAGCCTTGTTCGTTAGGCACATCTATTCAAGAACTGTCATTTAGTGCAGGGATATAATAATTTGTTTTAGCGAGTGTTTTATGGCACTTGCAAAACAATTATGTCATGTAAGTGCCGAAGATTAGAGGTGTTACAAGAGAGTAACAAACTCAAAAAAAGGGAAGAAAGTTAAGGACGATTGATGTTTGATGGGAGAGAAGGAGCGAACCACATCAGAGCACCCGCCAACCACCCACAGGAAAGAGTAAGACAGACAGAGGCACAGCAGCATAAATTCTCTCTATGGAAAATCAATAATAGTAATATCTTACTATTGATATTATCTTGGATTATCTAGGTCTTGAGACAAAAATATCCTAAATTCCCTAGACTAGCTGGAAAAAAAAAAGCAATATTTCATTTTATCAATGTAATGACAAAAAATACCCAAACTCCCCTCACAGGCACACAAAAAAAAAAAAAAGAAGGAAAATCTTCCATTATCAATTCTATTGATCCGTTTGGTTGAAGACAAAAATACCCAGCAGAAAAACCTACTTGGTTCCTCTGCACAACTTGGTCATGTGGAACAGGCCAAAGTCAGTGATGACCACCTTGCCACTGTCCATGAATATATTCTTTGTCCTCAAGTCTTTGTGGATGATCGCTCGCGCGTGGAGGTAGCTCATGCCCTGGGGGGAAGGATCGTAAATAATACATGGATTGAAATACCACATCATACAATCTTCTTTTTTTTTTTCCATCTACAGGTCTTCTTCTGTTTTTTCCTCCTCAAAAATGCCAGATCTGTTACACTCATAAATTCCTCTGCCTGGAAGCTCTAAAATAAACCTGTACTGTTGCTGCATTTTCCTGTCTCCCATCAGGTCAAGATTTAAAGCCTTAAAGATAATTCATGAGTTCAAAGAAATGAATTTGAGTCTCCCTAACTCTTTTCGTTAGTGATAATGATGCTATTATCAAGTTTAATTCGAATAAAGAAAAGCAATTTGACCCAAGCACAGCCAAATGGTCAACAGAAAACGAAGATAAAAGCAACATAGAGTAGCAATGCCAATGAAAAATTGATTTTTCGCTTTAGCCCATTTTTATTTGGTACCTAAGAAAGTTTTCAATTCTAAGAATTATGCTTTTTGAATGAAAAGAATCGGTACATTAATTTTTTTTAAAGTTATCTATGGTTGTAATGGTCTGCAAAATATGGATGACCCACATATATAGGAAAATACTCCTAAACAGTGGACCACACAACAGCAGACTGTAAGAAAATCGATGACATCTCAGTAATTAATTTGAGTGTTAGAAAGAAACTTGGCTACCCAATGTGTTTTTGGATGAAGAAATCATTTCTGCAGTCAGATTCACTAACCATTTCATAGATATCTTTATATAATTAAAATCTTGGGGTAGATATTACGATTTTGAGAAAAAGAGTTCCGGATGAAAGCATTTTATTTATAGAATCGTATCACAACATGGGATTTTTCAGAATATGTTGGCAGCGTGACCAAATAATGGCAAAACTTTCTTTGTTGACTTTAGACCATTCCAACCATAAAAAAATAATTCAATTCAATCTAACATGCCGTACGATTAAAAACCTTTTTTCCCCATTGAGATGCGAACACTCCGATAAGCTCGCCTCGGAATATCCCCATTGTGATGTGATAGGGTAACGGAGAAAAAAAAAACGGATGCGCGCGCCCGCCATTGTCCTGTTTCAAGTGACCAATGAACGGGCTTGGAATAATCATGCAGGGATTTGTAGATCACATACATTTGCCTAGGGAGAGAGGGGGAAATGGCCGGTCTCTGTACAAAATCGCCTTGGACAGGGGGAGTAGCGGTACATTTATGATAAATTCTAAAAAACTACTTGAGACAGAACGTACAAAATTGAGGACACTATAGAAGAAATATAAATCTATTACATTCTATGCCTTGAAAACAAAGCTATTTATGGCTTTCGGTATACTCGATACGAAAGTGTTTCCGACACCAAAAATATAGATTAATTCATGTGTACACAAACTTCAACATCCACATACCACTAGTTGGCCCTATTTTCTGATCGGTTGCCTGGTTTCATTCACGTTGATACAAAAATAGTGCAGAACGAGTTTGACTAAGATAGTCACCTTCTGATCCGGTCCAAAAATTCACCTGCAAACGGGGACCAAAACTTCGCCTCGGGCCGATTGGCATTGCCACATTGAGAAAGAAAATGCACAGCGATAGAATCAAGACTCACCTGAGCGATCTGTGAGGCTATGATGATGGCCTTATTGATCTTGAAGGTGTTCTTGTTGAGATGGATCATTGTGTACAATGTTTGGCCTTTACAGAAACTGGGGACAAAAGAAAATGTAATGAAAATATTTTATGCCTTTCATCCCCCTCCCCGTTCCCCATTATGCACAAATGTGCGTATATTAAGCATTAAACCTGCAGACTACCCCCTTTAAGTTTTGGTGGTGTGTGAGCGTTACTCTTTAAAATTTCGTTTCGGGGGTTTGCTTACGCTTTAAAATGTAGGTGGTGTGCGTCTGGCAAGCATCATTTTCTCAATTATCTATCTCGAAGCCGACTCAATGATATGACAACACACCCACACACATACACGACAGTCACTTTTTGTCTGTGATGGAAGCAGTCGACCTACTTATCAGCTGCACGCAGTTTCCCGCGACACCGGCTTGCTTCAGCAGAAAAGCTTCGCCCGCATTGTTGTCGCTCACATTCATCGGTGTCATGCCTTGAGTTTACCCCTGCCGTAAGATTACCCCCATAGTCTTATAGAAGGACGTGAGTAACCTCACGGCAGGGGTAATAGTCAAAGCACCACACCGCTAAAGCCATGCTAAAAATATAATAATAGAACTGACTGAATCAAAGATGGCGAGCCTAACACTTGATTCGAGGGTAAAGCGAAGAAAAGAAAGTGACACAGATTGTAGCGATTGTTCGGAATTTTAAAAAAGCGAAGCCGGACCAAGAAGTTGAAGAAGTAACAAAAAGAAAGTCAACTAGCCACGATGTTTTTTCATTCTGCGAGGCTGAAGGAGTTCAACTGGCTTAGCTACAATGAAGAAAAGAAGACAATGCATTGCAGCGTGAGCATTTCGGCAAACATGAAGTTGGCATAGAAAAATGACCAAAAAATAAATTTGTCCTTGGTGTGTCAAACTTGCAAAGATCAGCACCGATACAGCACGAGCAGTCACAGGACCATCGTTGAGCGGGAAAGAGAGAGGACCTGCGCATCGATATGAGAGCATCGGCATCCAAGGCTGTTGAAATTAGAGCAACTGCACTTTTCACTCAGATTGGGGCAACATTGGTCTTTGCTGCCAATGACTTCCAAAACACGAAGTTCTCTGCTTTGATCAAGGCTCATGTATACTTTCTCTCTTTCGGTTTCGTTTGTTTACTATACAGTAGAACATGACTATAGCGGCACCCGCTGCGGCGGGACCATACCAGAACCCCCACCTTTTTTAAAATGTAAATTCAGTTTAAAGCCTCTACTCCACTATGACAGTTCATACCGGGACAGACCCGTCTGGAGTTTGAAACCTTTGAATTAGAGTGTAATGTACTGCACCTACTGGGATGGGGTATTCTTGTCAATTTGAGTCTCGAGCAGTTGTGAATTGCTACAAAATCGGTGGGACAAGACTATCCCAGTCCCGGTGTAATATTATCGTCTGAGATTATAGAGTTCAAATATATAGCCACCTATCGCATTAGGACAAAACTCTCCCTGCTATCAAGATCATGTCTGAGACAAACTCTTCTCAACAATGGGTGGTCACTTTGAACAATTCCAAATGTAACCCACGATGGGTAAAAAACACGGGAGTTGCTTATTTTGATCAGGAGAATGACGATTTAACTCTTGACTATAGTCATCTTTGACAGCAATCAAGCTACCAAAATCAAAACCCTCTTTTTCCTCTTCTCTCGTATTTTCAAAAAAGAACTGAAAGATCAGAGGCCATTCATCTCACAAACGACACAATGCTCAGCTTACCTGGTGACTATAGCAAGGCGAGGGGGTTTCATACAGGCTCCCATGAATAAAACTAAGTTCTCATGTCGAGTCTTCCTCAAGATGGCAATCTGCATTGAAATAAAACACAAAAAATGTAAATGATAGGAGTCAACCAGGTCCGTAGAATAGACAGACAAAGTGGAAAAAAATATAACTCCTTAGACCATAGTTGGATATCTATTTGTGTGCATTCCTGGAGAAAGGTACCACAAGACACATTTGCTCGAACTGAATGACAGGGCATTAAAGGACAAAAATAGATTTTTTTAAAGCAAAATATTCTTTAGCCATTAATCTCCTGATACACAGCCTTTGTGTTTCTTTTGATCTAAAAATGTATTTTTGAAAATTACACAAGACATTTTTGTTATAAAAATTGCATGAAACTTTTGCTCTTCAACTCATTCATAAAAACAAGTTTCAATCACACTGCATACCAAAATTTAGGTCAGCTTTTTAACCTCTCGATCAGCGAATTGCTCATGTGTGTATCAAAACAGTAAAAAATAGGAGTTTTTGCGCATTTGTATCCAGTTCCATTTCATGAACAAAGCAAAGCCACTCTTTGAAATATCTAGCATTGTCACTGAAGACGATTTTTACCACTCATACATAAAAGTCAATCCATTTACATCACATATCAAAATTTATGTTAGCTTGTCTCCTTTCTCGCGAGTATAGCGTGCACAAGCACATTGACATAGTAAATGAAGGGAAGCTTTGTGCATAACAAACATGACCAAACCTTGAGAGCAAAGCAAAATCATTTTGCAAAAAAAATATTTTCCCCCACATAGTGGCAATCCAGACATTTATTTTGTGGGCCGAATCAGGCTTGCGACCATAGTTTAGTGACCCCTGACTTGAATAGTTTGAATGATCAAATCTTAAAATAGTTTAGTGACCCCTGACTTGAATAGTTTGAATGATCAAATCTTAAAATACACGGGACTTCGTCCCATCTTAATTCCAAATTCAAAAATCAAGAATCAATCACCCAGCCCTCTCTATAGATTGTAAAACCCACAGAACTTGCTGCTGGGCGGGAATTCGTGCTAAAATGGTATCTATAATTATAATAATATTTCACACCAAATCAGAACCCACAAAAGTAAACACTGTTGACCCTGGAGATCTAAACCCAAGCAAACTAAACACGACAAAAGCATCAGTACTGTAATATAATGTTTAATTCCTGACATGAGACTTCAAAAGCCAGATTTACTTTTCTTGCAAAACAAAAATAACCAAAAATGTTCTTTATTACATGGGAATGGGCTCTTTCCTCTTTGGAACAAATACAAGTATGGTCCCGAAATTCACTAAGTTTGTGTGTGTATGTGAATCAAACGCTACAAATGAATGCGAGTCGCACCCACTCTTTACACAATAAAATAGGCTTTTATAACTTTTTACAATTCAATAAACCAACACGACTGTCATGAAGTGTTTCACCATCAATATGCTATTAAATCAAATGCCACTCGCCACTTAAGTAGTTCTTGAGTTGGCAAGCCACAAGTTTCAAAGCCACAATAGAAGTCATTCTTCAGTATCAAACATTAGGCATGTTTCGAGTCATACCCGAAGGCTGAACTCGTTACCCAGGAATTATTTTCACCATTTTGAATTTTTTCCAGATACCAAGAAATATGTAACGGCTATGAACGAAAAACGTTTATAAAAAGGCTAAAAATGATCTCACACACAAAAATTATGCATCAAATCAAAGGCAATCGATATGCATCAAACTAAAGATAACTGATTATACTATATATCTAGCATGATTAGAAAATACAAACACACGATACATAAAGAGATTTTGTAGACAAAAGAAATAAGAAGTCAAGTAGTTCTTTGAGTTGAAATGCCACAAGTTACAAAGACAGAAAAGAAGTCTTCTTCAGAGTCAAACATTAGGCATTGCTTCCAGTCCTACCTAAAGACTGAATACTGAAAGCTTCAAAACCACACGTGACTGCAGGATTCTAAACAGCTGACTGTGAAAATGCAGTTTTCGGTTTTTTTCCTCTGAATTCTGACCACGGGGGAAAATACTGACAGGTTCAAAAACCAGAAAACAGAATAAGTAGAAATGCCTACGCCTGAAAATTACACTCGTTCCCTCGTTGAGAAACGTCGTCAGATAAATATAAACACACACAATATTATGAAATACACACATTCCTTCAAGATACATACAAGCAGTACAGGTACTTTCATCAATGCATTCCTTTGACAACAATCCATTCAATTGGGGTCTGTGTCCTCAAAACTGCAATGTGCTATTCCTGGATGTTAAATTTTTTTCACAGATGTATAATTAACTAACACTAAAAAGTGTGTCTTATCACAATCCCCATTGAGACACACTTTTTTTTTTTAAAGTGTCCTGTCACTGTCACAGTCCACATTTGTACTTAGTGGCTTCTTGCTAAATAAGAGTTCAGCAATGGTGAATGGCACTTGTGCACACATTGTGTGGGGCTATAGGTTGGGCTGTTGCAGTTGATGGTGGAATCGGCTGGACATAGAAATCTTTTCGTCATGGACGAATTTTGAAATGGACAAATTCTTGGCTGCACCAAGGAAGATAACCAAGTTGGACAATAAGCCAAAATTAACATGAATTATGCCCCCTGAGGCAAAACCGTGTTCGTGATGAATTCATGGCAATTTCACTTCTAAATTTGAATGTTGTAGTCCTCAGTCTTAACCGAATTAATTTGGTTTTACATAGAAATAGCCATACCCTGAACCTTTTGAAACAAATGAAATACTGCTTGTTCCACTGCCCTTTACTTTATCAGTTTATGCCTTTCTGTCCGCGGATCACCACTATGCTCAATATTTTGCTGTGTTTTTTTTTCTTCTTTAGTTTGGAATTGCAAACGTTTTGCAGATTGTTTTTTTTTAATTGATTTTTCATCCACCTCTGCTAGGATCAGCCGTTTATCCTCAACCGAGAAACCTTTGTACGTTTCTATCGCTCCGTTAAGGTTCACTCTCTACTATAATAACTTCACCTAGACCTAACTGTGCAGAACATGGCAAGCTGCTGCATAGTGCGTAATCTCTGTTGAAGAGAAAGCGCTGATGCACGTAGCGACAATAGGGCCCTACCGGCTACGTGCCTTCATAAGCAGACTCTCCGCTCGTATGTCTAGGCCCTAAACCAAATCTGTCACCCTATGAAATCTAAAAATCAGGATCTCAGGGGAAAAAAATCGGGACACGACAAATCACCAAGGTGACTAGTCAGCTGATTTTTAAATTTTCCAACAGTGTCCATAAATATATTATATCCATGTATAGGCCCTCTGAACGCCCACCTGTGTTTTATCATTATTTTTTTTTAAATTCAGAAGTATCACGTCAAGGACTCCTAGTCCAAGTGTCCCCCCACGAGCCAAAGATGTCAAAACCAGCCATATTTTGTAAAGTACGGCTAAACCTGGGCAAATCACAGTTTGGTCTTGCCAGATAAATATCAACGAGGTCGTAGTGTTTACCGCTACATTAGATTGGATTATTTTTGCGCGTGCAACACTCATTTTGGCCAGTAGGGCAAGCTGAGACAGACCAACAACATAACCAAACGAAAAGAGCTAGAAACTGTGGATTGGGAGAAGGACTACTTCCAAAACTTTTATGAAGTCGACAATTTGTCCAAAACAGGAAAAGTTGGAAAGCTTATTTTCAAAAGCCGGAATTCCAGAACACTTTCACCCACGATTCTGACAAGACATCACACGACACATTTTACAAATAACTTTCATCCCGAATACCAATCCAAATAGCCCTTACAACGTTGGATTTTAAACAACAAAAATGAATACTATAGAGTTGCTTCTGTAAAATTCAAAGAAACCCAGTTAGCTGTAAAAATCCCGCAGCAACCAATACGTTAGAAATCATACTACATTTCAAATCAAATGTAAGGCAGCGTTGTTGAGACATACCTCAAGTTTGAATGCCGCAAGCTGAGCCTCGTTATCCGTGCTGTTCCCTGTATCTAACAATTTGATGGCCACATCGCCATGCCACTGGCCCCTGAGAACACAGAAAACAAGACTTTACCAGCGTCTGTTGTGTAACAGTGAGGGTCTACGCCACTGCACGCTAAAGATGTGAGTTCTATTCCCGCACGGGGAAGTTTTCGTTCTTATTTCTCTCTCTGTGTGTGTGGGAAAGGGGGGGGTTGATAACTTCCATCTGCATGCTGGAAATTGCACATATTGACACAGGCACTTTAAAGACACACATATTTTCCCAATTCAGAGCTACATTAAAGCACTTTATCATTACAGTATAAACACCAGCACCGTTAAGACATCATTTTTCCCTATCCATAACAAGTTTCAAGCACCTAAAAAAAAGAAACGGCAGAAACTTCAACAGATACAAAAATTTTAAGCTGATATAGTTTCCTCCAGTCTGAGTAAAAAACCTTATATTTGAGCTCCAATTGATTTCCCAAAAGAAATGCAACTCTTTTATTGATAATTTGACTATAAAACTATGACACAGCCCAATAAAATCATGACAAATTGCCACCTGAGCCTATAAATTTAAAGGGATTAGCTTTTCTAATTACAATTGTAAAACTGAGCCGTACACAAACACTGTTCTTATTCTGCCTTTCCTGATGATAGTTTCAATATAAAATGCAACTCCTTTACTTAAATGACACCTCAATAGAAAACTGCAAGAAAACTTAGCAAAATCAAAAAAAGACTGACATCTGAGCTTCATCATTTGGAAGACATTTTTTTCCCTTTCTTTTGTCTATGAAAAACAAAAGTTTTTAACACGGCAAACATACCTGTACACTGTTCCTATCCTTCCTTTCCCAATAGCATCTCCAACATTGAGATCCTCGTATGGAATATCCCACTCTTTCATAGTCGCAGCCAACTGTGGAGACCAGAGATCATACAGACTTCTTAACTCGTTCACGATGTGGTTTTTTTCTCTTTATGAAATAATTTGTTTTACAAAGTTGTAAATGATTTCTAGTGTATATCCAGTATTAGACGTTTCATATTCTGATGACCAGGGCGAGGGGCAAATAATAATAAATATAACAATAGACTAGAATAAGCAACAGCTCTTTTCCATAAGGTTTCACTAAACTATATGTGAGGAGTGCGTGCTAACAAAATAAGTTACTTTTCGCAGTCAATGAATGGAGATATCGGCTGAAAATCAACACAAAGGTTATATTTATAGATTCTAAACCAATGACATTCTCTTCAAGCTTAAAAATCAACGCAAAGGTTAAATTAAATGATTCTAAACCAATGACATTCTCTTCAAGCTTAACATGTCTTTTATCATTTCATACTAATAAATTGTAAAAAGTCAACCTATAAATTTGACGTATCTATTTCCATCAGGCTAAAATCCAAAAAGTAACTAATTTTGTCAGCATGCCTCACATGTGTGGCATCGTTGGAAAATCAGGCGCTCGTCATAATAATGAAATCGAAGAAACGGGCATTTTGCCACCAGTTTTTTATCGAATTTTTGTTTTTTTGGCTCAACACCTTTTTTGTGTATAATATAAAAAACACATTTACATGTGAATTTTACTGAAAAACGTTGATTAATTCATTCAGTGCGGAGTGCTCCAGCAATGTACTCCCCTCATATACTGGGCAGTTTTGTTATGGCAACATGAAAGGTCTACCAAAGAAAAACAATCAAAACTAGTGGGCTCAATAGCTGTTCAAGTAGAAAAAATGTGTCCTTGACCTTACCCATAATGCATCACAATTAGTTCAAATAACTTGGTATGGATTAGGTTGAGTAATTCTTTCTATAAAGATAGCGAGGCAAAATGCAAGAATACTCGTCGCTAATATGTGGGTGCGGCGCAGATTTCGCGAGTATTCTCGTCTGTAGCACTGAAAGAGTTAATAGCACAAAATACGTAAATTTTCATTTTTCAAGACTCAAGCAACAGAAGTTACCGAACTTTGGTGGCCATTTTCTTGGAAATTTTACCTCTGAAACCATGCTACCCCCACCTCATTCAATCGAAAATATCTTGACTTCTATTCAAGAAAGATGGGTATTTTTTTCATCAAAAGATGATTTAAGAAGATACCGAACTCCATATTGCTTTGACAAGATTTATCCGTACTTTTCGTCTGTATACATCCACCAACAAAATATTTTTAAAATACCATATTATAGATTTATCACAAATCATAAAATGCAACTTAGTCCAACATAAAAATTACTACTTTTAACCTCAGATTTACCCAAATTCGTAAGGAGCAACCTTTCTTGCGAGTCCTTTGATTAAATTCTTAAACACACAGGCTGATGAAAAAATAAATAAATAAAGACCACCTGTTATTGCATTTTTACAATAAAAAGATTGATCACTTTCCCCTCTCTGGCCTAGGATGACAAGTCAAAAATCGTGTTGGGGAATAACGCACAGTAAGCTGTTCAGTAGTCTCTATCCCAAACTTACACTGTTCTGCCGGTTCCAGGAATAGTCGTCTGTACTGTCCACAGAGTCCACTCTGTCCGGCAGAGTTCGCTCTGATGTGTTACTCTGGAAGGCGGAGGGGTGGGAAAAAAAAGAAAGTGTTAACATTAGAAACCTTATCATTATTCTTAAAAATTCACAGTGTGAATAAATTTAGTCACACAGAACTGGAACTATTTTTTCTTTTTCACAGAAGGGTGTAGTGTGTGCACTTGCTTACAAATGTCATCCAAAGATAAATTACAAAATGATAAGCACAGTTCGCTCAGTGTTACTACGACAGGAGGAGAAAAAACAACAACAACAAAACAATTTGAAAACGTCAAGACTGATCTGTTTCAAACGTCAGATCTGACAGACATTAGCAACCATTTCTTTGCATGCGTGCTTTACAAAAATATTACAATCCCAGTCTTTTCCTCCCATCAATATATTCAAACTCTCTTACTAAAAGTTATGCTACATCTACTTTTACCTTTCTTGTCTTCTAGATTTGAAGAGTGCATACAAACCGAGACCTAAACATTTAACAGTTTTTTCCTTTAAAAACCCAACAAAAATGTTCGATCGTTCTGGAAGGCTGGCTATATATCTCATATTTTTGTCTAATTTATCCATTTTGGTGCTTCTACATAGAGTGCACACTTCATTCTGGTGAATTACCCATAAAAATTTTGAAAAAAAAATATTTTCATACTAAAGTGGGTGTTGCATTTTACCTAAATATTTCTCATCTGTCTGCCATCTTGAAATACAAAGATCAAAGCAAGAACAAAGAATTCACCTATATCTGTCTGCCCCGCTCAATATCAGTCATAAGACGCAGTGACCTATTATCAGCTACGAGGCTCGAAGGACAAGTTTGATGTCTTCTGCTTCATTTAAGATAAAAATAAACAACTATAATAGACTATAAATATTTTATTTTGATTTACTTTGGAGGTGTGTGTGGTTTGTTCTGAGCTTGGGTGACGAGATAAAGGGATTTGGACCTTGCTAGTGTGTACCTGTGAGAGTTTTTTTAGAACCATTACCTCATGGCCACCTTTGCTTCAACCAATGATTATAAATCGCTTCACTGTTCTTCATTCGCAATTATTTTTAGATTCTGACCCCTTTTCGAACATGAATGGTCTGACAATTCTGATTTGTAAAACGGAGTAAAAACGGTAACTTCTAGCTCACTTCTAGCTTGTTTACGTAAACAGCTGACTGTGTGGGCGTGCCCTGCTAGCTGTTATCGTCTGTTGATCTTTCAGTTTTACTCTTGGACCGACTTTAAAAATTCGTTTTATTGAATTTTAGTGCGTTTAAAAGAAATTAACCTTCCTCTAGATATCTCAAAGCAGAGTCCTTACCAAGAGGCCACCGAAGCGGTCTATGAGCATGTGTGTGTATGTGTGTTGGTGTGTTTGTAAGTGTGTATGGGTGTGTGTGTGCCTGTGTGTATGTGTGTCCCCCCGCTCCTGTGTGTTTGAGGGGCTATTGCAAAAGTATAATTCGGTAGCGTAAACACAGCATGTAAGCCGACTCGCAGCCTACCGAGCACGTGGTTTCGGTAAAATACGGGCAATTCAGATCTCAGTTTCTTTGCTATTTTGCTCAAAAACATGAAATTATTCTGAACACTTTGAAAAAATTCAGGGTTTTTTTTCGTTACAATAGTGTAAGTTGTTTGTATATTCGAGTATTTGGAACTGGAGAATCGCCGTGGAAAGGGAAGCCCTTCGCGGTCGGAATGCGAGGACGGCCGGTTCAAAATAGACACCCATGCATTCGAATGCTTTGCAGAAAGATTGATGATTAAATACTGTACAGCTTTGAGCGTGGTTTCCCGTGGTTATTATTTTTGGAATTTGGCGTTTGGATAGAAAACCTTGAAAAAAAAAAAGGGTGTAAGCTTTCAAAGATCGTTTAAAACATGGAATGTGTAAAATTAAAAAACGGCTACAAAAAAGAATGCAGTTCTTTTTCTATTAGAATAAAGTCATCAGTTTGGAAGTATTTTGCACGAATCCTTCCGCGAAACTACCGGGAGCGCTCAAAACACTACAGTATTGAGACGAATTGCTCGCCGCGAGTGCTGGTGTGTCGCCGGCCGAGACAACGCTCAGAGTTTTCATTAAAATAACGACAGATCATCGTGTATGAGGCAATAAAATACTGAAATGTAATGATCTCACAGTCATGAAAAAATCATGCTTCATTTCTTTGTTATAAAGATTGTGCTCTGTTAACGTAGAAATATTTGGTGCACTTGGTACTCTTTTACTATCTGTCAAACATGGGGTTGCAGCCAGTTAGCGACTTCAGCAATATTTGATTTTTAGGTTCAATTGAAACAGCCGCCATTCTCTTAAACATTGACTGGGAGGTATGAGTACGGAACCAAAATTCTCAGGAGACATAGGCCTTTTATATGAAACATATGAATTTGACATACAGCTACTTTAAAAATTTAGTATCTGGTACCTAGTATAATGCTAATATTTTGTTGCATTTGACGTGAAGTCCATTCTCGTGGAAATTCTGTTTTGTCCATAAGTTTTTTCTCTGTAAATGAATAATTTCCTACTTCTGTAAGTTACCTTGTAGTGGCATAGCCAAGATAACTGCTAAATTTCAAGTCTCTATCTTAACGTGTTGCTCATATTCGGAGGCCATTTTCTCCTTTTTGTGATTCCTCACCTCGCACTATTAAAAGTTCTGTATATTCGTCAAATATGGTCATATTTACTTCATTCTTGTTTTAAATTGAAGGGAAAAGGTGATAGGTTTTGAAAATAATGTTAACTCAGTTTTGAAATTTCCTTCATATGACTGATATTGACCAGCAGAGACACAAATAGGCTATATTTGTGGACCCAGAGGACAGACAAATGTATGCAGCTCGAATTGCCATGTCTGAGAGTCAAAGGGAGGCTCCAGTAGCCATATTAGTGAAATATTCTATATTTCTATTTAAAGAAATCTCAAAATAGGTCAAATATGAAAATTAGTAGAGGCAAATCTCTGATTTGGGTCTAAAATCAATACCTACCCAAAATGCCTTACTTTTATGTAAAGTACCGCAGTCATAGGAGCCTTAACAAATTTATAATAATTTTTCGTGCAATCAGACTATTCGTTTGCATTTCAAATTTGAACAACTAGGTCATGGTACTAAATGGCTGCCATCTCCAGTAATTGGCCTGAAATTACTCTAATTTTTAATATATTGTGCAGAATTGAATGCTCCTTGATATAAACTAGAAATGGAATCAATTTCGTTCAAAACAAAGTTTTTTCATTCTTTGCCTATGAAAAGATGAGAACAGAAAAGTCTTTTTTTTTTAAACTATTTTTAGATACCAAGTAAGTAAGTCACATATGCAAATGAAAAATCATACACAAATAATTATTGTATCAAATCAAAAGTCCTTTCCATTGATATACAACACTTATTGTGTTGACCGTCACAGGAATTTATAGGATATTTTATTTTACGTCCACCCTCTTTACCTTAATTAAAAAAGAGGCCAAAACCCCAAAACACCTGAGAGTGAAATTCTGCACTATCATATCAACCATTATACACCGTAGAAATTACAAAATGAATAGCTTACTCTTTAACCCTCCCCCCCCCCCCCCCTCAGCCTAAGGGACCCTTGCACCTAGCCCCTGTACATTAACCACAAGATTACACCTCTGTAAACTAAGGTACGCATACTGTGCACAGTCGGGTAAAGGTAGTCACACTTAAGTGTGTGCTTGGGTCTATTGGGTAAATGTGAGTAACAAACAGGCGACATTCAACCACAACGACAACAAAAAACCCAACTTTTTGCACACCCCATTATTTCTAAGAATTCTGTTATACTTACATCAATTAACGTTTTATCACTGTCGTTGGATGCATCGGTACTCACAACATCGCTGTAACAAAGAGACAAAGAGGCAGATTTATTCAACAGGAGTATTCATTTCAATCAGGATAAATTAATTAGGAAAATTTGTTTGACAATGAATTTGCTTTATTTGTATCGCCTGGCTACTTCAGTTTTAGTTTTAGTTAAGAGTTTTACAGCATTTGCAACACAAAAAGTTAAGAGTAAAGAGAAGAACATAAATACAATAACGGCCATTCACTGTAAGGAAAACAGCAAGACAGATGGAATGACAGGAACAACAGAAAGAAAGAAAAGAAGTAGGACCTACCAGTCGCCCCCTCGGACCACCCTTAGGAACGAGACAAGAGCAACAACTTTTTTTTTTTAGTACAGGTTTTACGGCGCTCGTAACTGCATAAGGTCATATGAGCGCCAAGGGGTGGATGTCAACAGAGAAGTTCTTACAGGGAATCCGACTTACTCTGCTCACCTCTCTAGCTTCAACGGCTCAAAGTCTGCTTCGGCTATCAAGGCACCCCGGAAATAGTGGGCCACAAGAGTGTGACAAACGAACTCTCACAGGTTCACTGACCGGTCACAATGACGGGCCCGACAATCTAGAAAACGGAGTACGCTTGTTTTCTTTTTCTTCCTTTTTTTTTGTCAATATAGTGACAAAAGTGAGAATATCGATTTAATTTGTATGACGTCACTGTGTTTTTTTATGCACAAACTGCACGTTACAAATTTTCATTAGCTGTAAATCTAACGTTAACAAACCATCATCAGACAATTCTGAGCGATAACGAAAGCGAAAGTAGATTTTTATTTTCCCGATGGAGTCTCAGTATTACACCTACACTTCCACCTGCCGCCATAGCCGCTTATTCCTGTGAAACGTACTCTCGGACTGGGGAAAGCCGAAAGTCATATCACAAATGTGACCGGTAAAATAGACTTGATTTCGAGGACTTTGCGCATTTTCTCGGGTCTCAACCATTTTTTTTTCAGATTCCCAGGAAATAATTCCCGCAGTCCCCTTGCGTAGAATCCTCATTCGGTACTGTGACCAATTCTCTAGACCAAGACAGATTTTAGAATGTTTTGCTTCGATACCGATTTTCTTTCTACATTCACAATTCTGTTCTCTAGATAAATGAATTAAATGCACAGATTTTCCTGCCATAGCAAAAACCCGAAGGTAGGCAGAGAGAAAGAAAAAATGAAAAGAAGGAGGAAGATTATATATCGTGAGTAGACATATTTTAGCCAATATGCACGTGAAAAACTATTGCCGACCGAACGGCACAGACAGACAATGATTGAGTGTATGAAATGCGCAATCTGGCAGTTTCTTATACATGTACAACTTATTGCCGAAAGTTGCCGTAAATATCTGACAAGTTACAAAGCTAGTGCTGATCTCTTTGACTCTCTCTATAACAAATAGAGTTGATATGATGATGCGGTAAGTACGGAACTTTTGGAACGTACGGATTTACGCAAAAACAAAGAAGAATGGAAGCACAGCAGAATGGGTTTTTTTTCTTTTTCTTTTTTCCGCACCCATTGCAAATCCGGTAGTATTGACACCTTACCGGTATGGCGGTAGAACAGGCCCAAAATCGGTATCTACCGGAAAAATCGGTAGAATTAGGCAGCCTTGATATAATATTATTACACAATCGCGACTGGCAAAAAGGAACTTACTGACCTTATCGGACTTGGTTTTCAAAATATTCGAGTTCCGCGATACTAATACTATATTGACAAAAATGGGATTTGGTAATCGCCAAGTACCGCAGCCATGACTCCTTTAACTGAAAAGTCTTGCAGGCTTCATCACTCTGTACACATGTTTATTTACGACGGTTTATAAAATTACAACCTTCATGGCACATTTACTACCATTTACGACCAGGCCACTGAATTTAGGACTTTTCTACAACTTTACGACCTTGCTGGAAACCCTGAAAATTCTCAAAACTTTCCAGCGGCATCCTCTAGCCACCCATGCATAAAGTGCAGCATCCACAAGGAGCAAAGGTCACCAGCTGAGACAACAGGTTTGCCAATTTTTTCAAAACTCAACCAGGGACACCCAGCTTTATAGCAGATTACATAATAATTAACCAAATTAAATCCTTGTTCTAGTAAGCGTTTTCCAAGACTTGCAAAACAATAAGGTCATATAAGAGCTGAAGCTTAGAGGTGTTATAGGAGAGTGACAAACACAAAAAAAGAAGGAGAGATAAAGACAAAAGATGTTTGATAGGAAAGAAAGAGCAAATCAGACCAGAGCAACCGCCAACCACCTGTAAATTACACCCAGTGGGACTGGTCTTGAGATAGAGTAAGTGACAAGGCTCTAAAATTCCCAGCTGCCAAATCCGGGACATTCCTGGGAAACATAGTACAGCTCTGCCGTAAGCTGACAAATCACCTTTTTTTCATTTTGGCACCAAATTTTTTTATTTGCTAAATCGAAAGCCTGATCAGTTACCCTACTTGTGATAAAAAATCAAAGCAAAACTGTGACTAGTTTCTGAATAAATTAGAACTCAAATTTTGGAAGAATGCTGTTTTCAAACGTTACGCTGACAAAAAAAACCTTTATCTCGAAACTGCAGAGAAAGAAAAAAGGCCCTTTGTTAGCTTAAGGCAGAGCTGGCAAGCCTGCAACAAGTCAGTTTATTACTAATAAACAGTGCACAAACAAACCACTCACGTGTCAGGGGAATCAGTCCCTGTCGTGCCCCCACCAAAATCTGCTGGGAGCGTTGAGGCAACATCTGTGGAGACACCACACAGTGAAAGGTGAAATCCATCAAAAGCTTCTCACTTACACAACATAAGCATTTATCAAAATGATGGAGAAATACACCATGAAACACTCCCCACATGTGCGTGTGCACATGCACATGCGCGTATGATCAAGGAATGGAGAGACAAGATAAATCACATGAAAAGTAAAATCCATAAAACACTACTCCCACACATATATGACAAATGATCAAATGACAGAGTGAATGAGAGCACATCTGACTCTCAGCCTGTCCATCCCTTCACCACCCGTCTCAGTCCCTACAACCAACCCTACACACATTTCACTATGTATGTAATGGCATTTCTTGAAGTTGAAATGAGTACAAAATAACAGCAATAAGCCCGAAATAATAAATCTATTTCATTTCACAAAATACACAACCTAATTTCTCAAGACAAAATGAGTACTATATAAACAGTAAATAAGCGCTAGTAATAACTACAACTATATAATTTTCATACAGTGGAACTACGATTCAATGAGGCTGCCGGGCCGGGCCTAAAATCTCATTGAATCCAAGTCTCCATTATAGCAAACATGAGGTTTTGTAAGGATAATTACAGGCACTGAGCAAGTAATGTATAAAGAGAAGTAACAAGTGGTGTCTGAAAAGCCCGCATATTATGAGCTGTGCAACAAACAAAAAAATTGTTCAAATGCACGCCTGTGTCATCTCGACTGTTTGCCAAAAAGTTGTGTTGCTATATAGAGCCTAGCATACGGCAACTTTTGATTCCATAGACCAGTGCACAATTCATTATGTAGATCTATGTCAAAACTAGCTTATCACTGTATTAATGATCAGTTGCTGGGGGGAGGGAGAACTGTGACGTGTTGGTATCTGCGACGTTCCACACCTGGACCGCTGGTCCCCCCCCCCCCCCCCCCCCCCCCGCGCGACACGCACACAGAGTCACACATGTGCAGGCCCCCCATTCGACCCCGACAAATGCTAGAGTACATGTAGACACGTGTGCATGCCAACAACACACATGTCGGTATGAAAGAAGGCCGCCGATCGGTCGCATGCAATCGGGTAGGTGAATAATGGTTCACGATGCCGGTGCAAAGGATGGTTTCCAAGAATAAAGTTCGTTGTGGGGAAAAAATGGGCCAAGCCACGTCTGCAGGGGGCTTTTCACCATGGAAGCGACCTCATTTATCTCCGGCAAGCTGCTCCCGGCGGCTCGCGGACAGAAAACCACTGTGCCGGTGAGCCACTCTAGCACATTCCTTTACGACGACTTCGACATCCAATTAATTGCCGAAAACAGGTCCCATAATACCGGAAGTTCATTCATTAGATGAAGAATTATGAAAATAGGTTTAGGTTCGCTTGTTTCAATTTAATTACCCATTTAATGACGTTTTTGTCATTTTTAGAATTAGCACCAAAAAAGGGCCCCGGCATAGTGGGTTTACCCTCTGCCGAGATATAGAGTTAAGCGTTCGTTGAATCCGAGTTATTTTTATTGATTTTAAATAAAAAGAAAAGACGGGGAATCCATCTACTTTCGTTCAATTCGAGTTCTTGTTGAATCCGAGTTCCGCGGTATTACTGCACACATTTCATTGCTGCTGTTTTGAATTACACTATGTCGCCTCAGAACTACTTTGTCCAAAGTGCACTCTATGGTTAAGTACACTTTGGACAAAATAGTTCTGAGGCGATGACTAATTTCATATTTCATTTCATTTTAGTGATTTTGGAATTCTAATTTCATACCACATAAGGATATGCCTCAATTCAGAAACATCACCAACTTTTTCATGTACAAAGATACCTCAAATCAGAAACACCTTTAATTAACTTATTCCATTTACCCACTACCTAAAAGCTGAAACAGCATTTTACAAACGTGCCTCAAAGGAGAAATTTCATCAGCTTTTTACATTTACAAATGTTCCTCGAATGAGAAATATCAATCATCAGCTTTTTCCATTTGTCAAGACGCGGTGGAAACAGGCGCTTGTCAATTTTGAAGCATATAAAGTTATTGGTATCATCTTAAAGCCTGTCCATTTGTCTTGCTTTTGATGAAAAAAATTATCCATTTATCTTGGATGCAAGTCAAGATTTTAGCGATTGAAGGAGATGGGGGTCGCCTGGTTTCAGAGGTAAAATTAGCGAGTAAATGGCCGCCAAAGTTGAAATATTTCCTTAGCATGAGAGGCTGTGGAAACTGAAAGTGTACATCTTTTATGCCTTTAGTTAACGTTTCTCAGGCAAATCCACACAGAAATGTGTTCTTTGAAGGGCAAGAAAGGTGATGAGTCCCCCCATAAAAATTACATAAAAATTCCCAAACCTGCGGAAAAATGCCAGTTTCTTGACTTTCATTATTTTGACAAACGCCTGATTTCACCATGCTGCCTCACATTTACAAATATACCTCAAATGACAAACATCATCAGCTTATTCTGTTTAAGAATGATCCACCTCAAATGAAAAACCTCATGAGTTTATGCCATTCACCAACATACCTTCAATCACAAAACACCATGATCAGACAAACTTACCAGGAAAGTTGAACTGTGTGCGAGAGGAACTGTAGGGGGAGGGGGCCGGGGAGGGGGAGGTGATTGTGTCGGAGGAGGTCTGGTGGTAGGCGGGAGAGGAGGGGGAGGAGGAGTTGCAGGAGGAGGTGTTGGAGCCAGAGTCGGGCAACGGGCCGCCGGGGAAGGCTGGCATGGACTTGACGGGCTTGAGGCTCTCCTCCCAGCTGCTGGGGGACAGGATGCCTTTGGTCATGCGTCGCTGGGACATTGGGGACTCTGTGGAG